AAATCAAGCATCAGGAGCCAAAGGCTCAGGTCTAGAAAAAGAATTGCTGCTGTGAGGCCGCACATTTGGCGGAGAACTCACGGTTGACAATGAACGGTCCGTTTTGAGGGAATCATGGTTACGTGTGGGTACGTATCATGGAATGGGTGTTCTTCACACTTCTTTCAACGTGGTTATTGCTGCCTATAACCGCTTTCCCGACAGCTTCTTGACTGAAATCGCTGCCAAATTGACGACGCGCTGGGTCCGTTTTGCACACGGGCCTCGTTTCGTCACTGCCCAATTGGCCAGGAATTCTGCGAATTATTCGAATTAGGGACTGCCTTTCACGGCTCCCAACCTACAGAGATGTTCAGCGCACTGAACTCAAAAAACTACAAGCAGCTTTCGTTGATGGCCACCATTTTCAATCAGGATGGTTTGGGTTTGTCCTTAAAAATAGGGCACAGCATTCCATCCCAAGGTTATAACATGTTCCGTCCAACCCGGACGTTGCTCCACACTTACAATCATCATCGTCATCGTCATCATCATCATCATCACCACCAGTGTCAACTCATGTGGAATGGGGTAATACCATCAATTTATATGTCCTTATAGTTAACAGGGATTATAAATCCGCCACCCCCTATGACAATTATGTTGGATGGTGTAACCACATCAACTTATCTTCATAAGGGATAACAAATCCACCACCCACCTCTGGCAAATATGTTGAATTGTGTACTCACATCAACTTATCTTCAAAAGGAATCAAAAATCCACCACCCCCTAAAACAAATATGTGAAATGAGATGATCACACCCACTTGTTTTCATAAAAGATCAACATCCGCCACCCCTTCTGACAACTATGTTGAATAAGGAATAACATCAACTTGTCTTCAAAAGGGATCAACAAATCCATCACCCCCTGTTACAAATATGCTGAATCTGATCATAGCATCAACATATCACCAAAAGGGATCAACATATCCTCCACCCCCCTGTGGCAAATACGTTGAATCTGATAGTAACATCAACTGATTTTCAAAGGGATGATGATGACGGTGATGATGATGGTGACGATGACGATGACAATGAAAATAGTGGTGATGACGATGATGATTGTGATGATGATGATCATCATCATCATCATTGATCACATATACATCTAGATATTGAAAATCCACCGACATGGCATTTCAAAAATACGCAACCCTTCCGCAATTCCGGCGCGGAGCAACGTCAGGGTTGCACCGAACATGTTAAAACCATCATTTTGGATGTGTCTTAAAATGTTGGACACCGCAAAATCCCATGGTGCATCATCTTATCATCAGTTCTCTATTACAATCGCCATTTAGAGGTATCCCGCGGTATGCTCCTTTTGGACCCTACATGGGATTATATATCCCATCAAATACAAAAAATATCCCCATGGATATCCTGTGAGGTATTTACAACTATCATGGTCAAATCTCCAATAATGATCAGCAATCAACACCCATCAACACCCCACATAAAACATTACCTTCCCAGAATTTCGCTATAACCGGAACCCACATTTTGGGGATGTTTTTGGGATAAACCATGGATAACCCCATGCTACATCCATTTTTCAATGGCCATCTTCCTTTGGTTTCTCGAATTTATCCAAGGCATGGAGGTGGCGTGCCCGGAGTCATGGGCATCGGCGTGTTCATCGCCTCGGGCTCGGGAATCTCGGGAATGACATAGGATGTGAATAAAGATAAACTGATATAAAACTAAATGTAAAACTATATCTACATCTAAATATTTATGTCTAAATAAATATATATATATATAATATATAACAAAACATTTATAAAACTATTTTTGGCTCCTGCATGTGGTAACGAAGTTCGTTGGGGCAGAGCTCTAAATTCAGAAAGCTTGCCAATCAGTCTTTGCCAATGAAATTGCCAAAGGCACGAGCATGCATCTGTGTACATCACTCCAAAAATGCCGATGGTAACCTGCCGTACTCCGTACTGGCATCAAATTCTTCTGTGCACATGTCATGCAAGAAAGCCTGAGCAATTGCACGGCAGAACCCTGGTGGATATTCTTTCAATGGCGAGGTCTTGAATTTGCCAGATTTGTCCTTGCCAATAGAAGCACCCTGCGGCAGCCGACTTGTGACCAACAATGTGGTTGGTTTTGCAGAAGGGGCCCCAAATAGTCCCTGCAATAATCTTTTGTGCAGTTGCAGCTTTTCAGTTCTCAAAGCCCAAGTTTCAGCAGTAATGAAAATGTTTTTTGGCTGCTGGATAGTATGTGGGCACGCTTTGTGTAAGCCCGAATGCAACCCGGCAACCCATGGTTGATGCTCCCATTGCATCTGGGGTAGCAGGCAAAAGCGAATGCTTGCAGAGTTTTTGGCAATTTGTGTTCTATCATGCTGCGTAGCTCCTGGTCGGATACCAGTGTACATGCGACTATCAGTCCACTCAAGCTGGATAGCTGTGGCAGCACGATCTGCATGAGCATTACCATGGTCAAATGGCCAAAGCACTTGTGAGTGGACACAATAAGGCAGAAACTATTGAGGAATTGCAACATAATCAATACGATGCTGGGTCAAACCATCAATGGCAGTCCAAGTCGCATGATCACCAACACGTGCATCCCCGGTACTGGTACAAAATCCCTATGGAAAATAGTCTTAGTCAGTCAGTCAGTCAGTCACTTGGATATTTTATTATTAAAATTATTTTATAATAATATTCCATTCAATTTTCTATTGATTTATATCATTATTATCAATATATCATTTTCCCATTGAAAATCCCTATGGAAAATAGTCTTAGTCAGTCAGTCAGTCAGTCAGTCAGTCACTTGGATATTTTATTATTAAAATTATTGTATAATAATATTCCATTCATGTACATGATCCACTCAAGCAGCCTAAGGGAAGTGAGGTCGTAGTGTTGAGACTTAGAGAAGTCCAGATTCGGCGCACAAACAAAACCCACGTCACTAAGGGCAGCAGCAACCTTCCCAGCACCTCCACAGATCTCAACAAAGTCAAATTACAGGAGCGGGGCCTTCCACGGGCCTTCACAAGGCTGAAAAACCTCAGTCTGCTCGTCGAGATCATACTCACCGATGTGCCGGAGGAGTGCACGGAAAGGCTGGTCAAGCTGGGTATAGCTCCCCCTCTTATCTGCATCAAGCCAAAGCGATTCCTGGAGGCAATCCTCAACTGGGGCTTTCACAATGGCACCTTTTTGATTTGAGGCATCGGTGGCAAAGATCTCAGGGAGATAGTCAACGGCCACATTGCTCACAACCAAAGGGGCTATCGAGGCAAGCAACACAAGTTCCTGAGCAACACTGCGATCAAGCGCAAAAACGGATCCCACATCACGCTGGCATTTGGTTGAGGAAAGGAAAAATCCATCAATCAGGGAGGACCAGCACTTCCGGAACTGCAAAACAGAAACCCAGTTTCCAGCTACTCTTGTGGCAACACCAGCTGAAAGTCCAGGGAGGCAGGCCGCACGCAGTGAGAGGACAGCGAGCGCAAGGCGTTTGGCAAGAGGAGAGCCCACAGGCACAAATCCAAGCGTAACATTCTTTTGGCAAGAGCGCACCTCTGCCCCTGCAGCTTTGAAGCATGTCTCGGCTACAACATCTTTCTCAGGTGAACCCAACAAGGCTTCGGCATGGTATGCATGTCTGGCAACCTCAAGGCTCCGAGCAGACTGGCTCTCTTTGGCAGGGAGGTTCAACGGTTCGGCACTGATGGAGCAATCATCAATCACAAGTGCAAGACCCCCAAGTGATCCCCCTTGGAAAAGAGAACGGAAGCAAGGATACACATCGGAGGGCAAAATCCCACGGCCCTTGACTGGCAACCCTCTCAAGTTATCCCCAACAGCTTCCCGTCGACGTGAAACCTTAGAGAGTCCATCCTGCAGGGAAGTCCATGCTCTTGTGTCGGCAAAATCAGAAATTGGGAAACTGAAGGGCAACATGTTGGTACGGGCCCGCTCATCAGTCACGGCAGCTTGATGGTAAAAGTCACGCCGATCCGTCACAGACCCCCGCAGGCAGTGAGCGAACCTGGGGAGCCTAAGCATGGCAAGCTGTTGTCCCTGAGGCAGAAACTTGGACGGCCCGTTGACACGGAACTCAGACATGTTCGGCAGTCGGCGGTTGCTGATCTGCTTGTCTTTTTCAGGGGACTTGTAGGCATTAAAAACCCTTGAGAAATAGCCAGGCACCAAAGGGGATTCAGCCAAAAACAGCAAACCACGGACATCCCACAGAAAAAGCAAGCTTTAGGAATTCATCTGGCTTCTCAGCACGGAAATTGGGGATCCCATCGGAGGGAACAGAAAGCGCCGTCAAGGTACTTCTCCATGGGCCAAATGCCCGCGCCTGACAGTTTGAGCCGGGAGACATCAAGTGAGCGGTAGGGGGCAAGCTCAGGATGATCAGCAACACTGCACAAGCCAGGATCCGGATGGAACTTGTGGTGATCTACAGCGAGATAACCTTCAACGATCTCTGGGCATGCTCTCAGAAAAAATTCAACTTGGAACAACTGAGCGCCGAGCTCAGGGCTGGTTCTACCGGGGCACAGAGGAAACGTTTCCCAGGGGTCCACACGCAGTCAAGTCCACAACCGGTCAAACACAAGCAGCTGCTCAGTTGATGGGGACCTCCGCAACTCATCCAAGGTGGGCCACCTGCCAAGGAAAAGAAAGTCCAGAACCAAAGTCCAAACATTCAGAAGACGAGTCTTGGCTAAAGTCCACAGGCGACGCTTGGAGAGACGCGGGCCACTGCCCTCAAAACAATCCAAAGACGGCAAGGGAAGTGGGAAAACTGCGGAAGCCGTTTCAGCAGAACGGCGCTTGGCAGCAAAGGAACTAGCGAGGCAAAAAGCAAACTTTGTACGAGACCTCAAAATCCAGCGAGGCAAGCACAGGGCCCACTGGCATAGGCTGATATTTTGGGTGAGAGGGTTTGGCTCCGGCCCACTCTCACTCAGACCTCCTCCCCGTCGGCTACGGCTTGGGTTCCTCCTCCTCTGCCTGCGCCCTTCTTCTTTGGCTGGCCTTTGGGCTTTGGGCTTGGATTGGCATTGTAGGTGTCTCCTCCGCTGGAGAATAGACCGTGCTTGGACTGGCTTGTAAGCTCCAGGCGCTTGGTGGTGACCACATCCAGCTCCTTTATAGGCCAGGGCCACTGTCACCCATCGTTGGTCGGCCAAAGGGGAAAACGCCCTGGCTGGCGAGAACGTTCATCTGCCTGTTGCTGAACACTGTTGAGGGTGGCTCAGCTCGAATCGGCCTTGATCCAGTGCGGCCTGATCGATGGCCACTGCAAGGAGGGCTGTTTGGTCTCTGGCGGCTTGGAAGTTCAGCTCTCTCACCTTTGCAAAACTTCCAAACCTCTTGAGGTACCGGCTGCCGCAGATGCCCCTGTCCAAGAGCTCCTGAGGGCTACCCTCCACTGATGCCGTGGGCTGCATTCGTCTGGCCATGGCAGCAAGCACTGCTGTAAAGAAAGTGCCCTTTTGCGCCGCAAGCTCGTTCTGAAGGCGAGCCCTGCCCTGAGCACCTCTGGTACTGGCTGAAGCTGCTCCTGTGCTGAGCTCTATCATCGGACCTCCAGAGGTCTGAGCTATCTGACTGACGACTGCGCAAGAACCGCTTGGGCTAAATGATCTGAAGGGATATGCTGCTCCTGTTGGGGCTTCTCCTCCTGCAGCCCCAAGAGATCTGGAGGCTGAAATTGTGGCGATGACAAGAGTCCCAGTGCGGCAGGAGTCTGGGTCCATGGAGCGTGGTGAAAGACCTGTGTGGCCAGGACAGCCGCAGATGAAGGAGCACTTCATGATCGTGACCCGGACGCCACACAAGGGAAACTGACAGTTCAAGAGTCCCGGGGTCGTTGGAAGGCCCTCGGCTCATGCAGATACGAGGCAAGAAGACGTGCACGGGAAGTCAAGGCAGGAGACCTGGCAGAGGATGGTGAAAATCCAACGGAAACAAGTCCAAGGGTCGAAATCCACCAAACCAGGAGCACACAGCACAAGACACCACAGAGCCAGCCGAACAAAAGGGAAAAACCAAGAAGTCCGTAGGATGGCTGGGTGCAATACAAAGGGCAACCCAACCCCCAAAAATTAGAGGTTAATCCCTCGGCTATGAGGCCAAGGACCGCGCTAGGGGGCATGAGGCTTGAGCCCCGCAAATTTCAGGTTGAATCCTTAGTTTCATATATAACTCTATATATATATATAACTATATATATAACTATAAGCATAGGATGTGAATAAACAGATCGCCTTTTTTCCTCTCAATTTATGAAGATTGGATGGTTTCCGAAGAACTGGGGTGCAGTGCCTCGACCTCTCCGGTGAGCTGGGTCTGTGGCAAATGCCTTAAGCCAGCAGGCGTCAGTGACCAGGAGGTATCCACTTGTGGGTGGAATATACAACCCTTGGTGATATTATATTTTGGGAACTTCGGAATATAGACATAATATAGATAATATATATATAACCAAGTTCTTCTTATTTCTTCTTCTGTATAGATATGTGTGTGTGTGCACTAGCTCTAGATATCTCTAGATACACATTTCGATCCTGACATTGGCACCTTTATCCTTCCAAAGTCAGAAAGAATCCGGTTCTCTGCTTGACAAACACAAGTCCTTGGATGTCCTGTCCCGCCTAGCAATGTGGTTTTGAAAAACCGTTGAACAATGGATGAATTCCAGTGCTCTCTAAAATGTTCGTCATTAGAACCACCAGGGAATAGTTGTGGCCCCATGGATGACCTTCCCTCACTGAGAACCCAGGCCCCACAGAAATCTGCCGTCGTGCCAGAACCACTGGTGCTGACGTCACCACCTGAAACAAAAAAAAATCGCCGTACGCTTCACCCTGTGCCGAATTTTGTGGATCCATTGGTAACCCGTTGAAAGGAGACCATTTGTGGAAAGCCATTGCAAACTTGGACCCCAAATTTACAACGAAAAGCACTCCAAAATCTGGAGGTGACCACTATTGCTTCTCCAAGTCACAGTCGAAATTCAACCGGGCAACCTTTTTATGTCTCAACAAAACTGGTACATCAAACGAGATTCACATGATTTCACCACGCCTGTGCCACAGGCTGCGCCACAGGCGTCAACTGAACGGATGCCACAGGACGATAGCTGGCCAGGTTGGAAAGGTCCGGCTCAATAGCGCCTTGGTTTGGTCACAAGGCTTTCCCAATTGATGTCCTCTGAAACATGTGTTACTGAACTCTACTGCGGATCTTGGAATTACAGTATATGGAATTATGACCTATTGATGATTTATATTGATGATTTAAAGTGAGCATAGAATTCCCATCAATGGTGATGAGGCATGATCTTACTTTGTACAACGACGAATCATCGAGGATCTCGAAACCTCGACTTCAGCCACCAGACCACTCCAACTGCGCGTCACGCGCAATGGGGGTTGCCACGATCCGGTTGGGACAGATGGAACGCCTCAGCTGTGGCCTCTGGCAGTGAAAAATCGGGATGGGCCGCATTCGCCCAGCATTGAAAACCATGAAGCAGTTCGGATTGAAGCATCAAAAATGGAGTTTGCACACCCGAATGAGGTATACCCTCTGTGGTATTTAAACATTGCAGTGAAAGTTGCCCACTTTCAAGAACATCGACATATCATCAATGCTACAGGGTACCGCTTTAGGAACATATCCCTTCAGATCGAACTTTCGGCCCTGCAAGTTGAGCCATGCCCCATGGATGTTTCTTAAAGTTGGGAACTCCCAACATGCACCAAACTTGGGGTCGGTTTGAATTGAGCAACATTTTTCTTGAGGTCTCCAGCCCCAGCATGGTTGGAAATGCAGGAAACCATTGTTTTTACCTCAAAAATCGTGGACACAGGACATTCCTGCACTCGATTGTGGCCCTCCCAAATCGACCACATCATTTAGGGGCATTCTTGGGTCCAGAATCCCGGTTTGAAGTATAATTCCTTCACCCTGATATTGATCATTAAACATCCCCCCAAAAACCATGGTTGTTGTTGTGTTTGATATGTAGGTAAATCCATGGTAAGTCCTAATATTTTATCAGAGTCGTTCTCTGATAACATATGTTTTTAAATCACACGACTTTCCAAAAACTCTTCAGCCAAGCCAAGCTGCCATTCAAAGAAATGCCACAGTGATTGATCATCGAGACGGCTGGGAAGGGCCTTGTGTTGAAATGTTCACAGGTTGGATTTTAGGTCGCGTCATGAATTTTCTGGATTGCCTAAACCCTGGAATGCGTCCATTATGACTATGAGACCATGAAATGATGGATTCGAGAGTTTCCATTCCTGGTAGTTCTATACATCCCATTTTTGCTCGGTCTTAAACCAAGAAGGTGACTACTCGGACTACTCGAAACGTTGGATAAGATAGTTCATAATTACTAGAAATGCTTCACATCGTAGATCAAAAAAGAACCATAGCCATATTTTGATGATTTTCAGGGGTAAATGCGGCAAATGTCCTAATTGATCATAACATATCATAACACTGAAAGGCATCTAAAATCTCCCAACAAATATCTTGGCAAAATCCCCAACTCCACAAACCCATCTTGCCGCCACATGGCGTGAGGTGCGTAGACTCTGATGACCTGGGTATGGTCGGACCATCAACCAGATATTTCATGACCATAAAAAATATATGATGACCATTGGTATTGGTGGGTTTGGTCATCATGTTCATCAAACATCATCGACCATTATTGTTGCGTTGATTGCGTTGAAACCCTGAAAATTAACCTCTGATTTGGATTGTTCATGATTTTTCCATGATTTGCCACATGTCTTATCTTCATCAACCAGTGTTTTTCTAAACAAAATAAAGACTGATCCAATTTTTTCTGGTCGCGCATCCCGTTTTCTGGACACAACTTGAGCAACCCTGCGGCACGGGCACGGCCACGGCCAAGACAGGTGTTGCTTCAGGTTTCACCTTTCGCATTCAACATGGGAATCTGCAGAGTGGAAGTTTCCCAAGTTATTTTCAACATCGTATCACTTTCTGTAGATATGTTCAGATCGTTAGTAAGAACTGATTACTGATTACTGTAAGGCAGAGTAAGGCATGTTAAAATGATCTACCTGGTTCATGTTGCAAGCTTGACACAAATGCCGTGGTGGAAGGACCTACCGTTGCTCTCAAAGCGTGCCCAATAGGTCTCCCCTCGTAGAAATAGTTCTCCCTACTGTTTCAATGGGTTTTACTTATCAAGGATCACATTTCAAACAGTTGCAGGGTCAGGGTTGCTACCAACACCCCAGACTCATTAGGGGTTTAAATTTGTGAAAACTAGCTAAAATCACCGTGTTCATCAAGTTTTCGAGGAGCCACCCGGGCAGTTGTGGCACATACCCTGCAATCAAACATGGTTTGCTGGAAACAACCTCCATTTACTTCGATAAATCCCCCAGGAAAATCACCATTTTTACAGCTGGTATGTAGAAACCATTTCCAGTCATTTTTGTGGTAAAAATGGCCATCTGTTTTCACCGCATCAATCCCAATAATAGTTCATAGTTGGAACAAAAGCCACTATGGTTCCATTGAAATCCCATTTAAATGCCATTAAACCATCATTAAACCACCATTTTCCCATGGTTTTCCAGCCATCTTTTTTCGGACACCGGGCACTGCTGTCACTGCTACAGTACCGTGGCCAGGTCTCGGTCTCCCTGCAACTGCCATGGCTTGTGCGGCCATGCGCACGGCTGCTGGTGAAGGCGATGACCTGATGATGGAAATCTCTGTTTTTTTTTATCCAAAAAAGGCATTAACGGATTGTGGATGATTGATATGGCTGAATGATGCTTTGATATAATATAATGTGCATATATACAGTATATATATAGTATATATATGTATAGATATACTGTATGTATATATATATATACTATACATGTATTACTGATCGAGGTTGATATGTTTCATCCTTTCTCCACAATCAATTTATCCCAGGCAACTCGTTGACCTGGCAGTCAGCCCAGGTCACTGGGCGCAGGACTGTCGAGCTGGTGGAACTGGTGCCACTCCAGCCACCTCCATATTTTATGGCAGCATTCTTGGACCTACAATTTCTGGTACCATTTTTAGGTACCCTCTGGTTATTTAACATAGCCATGGAAAATAACATAGCCATGGAAAATCCCCATTTTCAATAGGTAAACCATCTATAAATGGGCCATTTTCCATGGCTATGTTAAATAACCAGAGGGTACCATTTTTCTAAATTGAAGGTGCCAATGCTCGTTTCTGGTAGCATAATTTTTTCTGGTACAAAAATTGACCAATGCTCGTTTCTGGTAGCATTTTTGGTCATCGTACCAATTAACAGCCATGAAATTACTCATTTTAGGCTCAAGAAACGCTAGTTTTAGCATGTTTTGGCGTTACTAGTAAACAATGCCATCTGAAAGGGAGATTCCAGCCATAGCCAGATGGGGCCAGGTGATGGGTCTTCAATTTTGACTCAGCTCCGCAGAGATCATCTGAGGGATCTCCAAGTACAATGCCACCAAGAATCCATTGGGTCAATGGGGTACCACTGGAGAATCATGATTTTCCCAACGATTTGATGGACATGACGTGTCACACTCCGGGTGAAAAAACGCCTCCCACGCGATCCACTTCACAAAGGTTTGTCGAAAAATCGGGTACCCCATAAATTCACTGATTAATCATCATTTTCCGTTTTAATAAATCCCATATCAAATCAATTCAAACCACATTTAAAAACTGTCCACCTCCAGCTTCTCCGACTTGACAGGCTCCATCTTCGCCTGCCACTTTGAGATCGTTTGACATCTCTACAATCAACTACCAACTTTTTCGGGGTCAACAAGGCCACCATGGATCTTAGGATCTTCCACCTGACCATTTTCTTGATGCGCCGCAAAAACCGTGATGCGGAACGACAAACGAATGGGAGATGTCAAAACATGTCAAAAACCCCCTCCTTGGATGTGGTTGTATCGAATCAAAATAATCAAAGGGCATGCCTCCCGAGAGTCTTTCTACGGAGGTGACGGACATCTACTTTCAAACACTTGCGTTGCGGCACGCTACCTATGCACACTTCCAGGAGTCGCAGATCTTGACCATGTGAGGGGTATTACAATTACTACAGATTGGCATTTGTGTTCAATCCAAGGATAAGTGAAATCCATTAAGAATCAAGAATCATTGAAAGAGGACAGAAGGTTGCCATGTTCAAGCGATTTCCAAAGATCCATCAGTTTCAAAAACCGTTCCATTCAGTCCACCCATCCACGCTATTTTGAACTCTCAGGATACCGAACAGAGTGGTTCAATCCTGACGTCCAGTCCCGCCTTTGGGGAAGCTGCGATTAAAACGGAAAATGTCGGATGGCGTATCTCATGACCCTCCAACAAAAATCAGGTCCATTGCGCTTTCATGAAGTCCATCGCAGGACTGAGGACGTCACGACTCATCGCATTTAAATCCAACGTTTTACAAGAACGGAACAGTCTTGAAATCTTCGCGCTTGCGACGGACTTCGGGACCATAAAGCACATTAAAGCACTGGAACGTCATTGGAAATGACTTCAAACGCTACTTGAAACGTCACATTCTGCACAAAATTCAGACCTCAACTTAGGAGGCTGCGATCTATCATCCTATCATGATCCATTGGATCATCCATTCAATCATCCATCATCAATTTCCCATGAAAATCTATAAAATAGATTTATCAAATATATATATATATTATCAATATATATTCAATATATCATATATAATTATCTTACATGAAAATCATTGAAAATCTACATTATATTCAATATATTATCTCATCTACCATGAAAATATTCACAACCCATTGGTCAATCATCCATTGGATCATCATATTTCACATCACCAGCTGATTCTCAGCCGATGCTACGGCGGTGCGTCAAGATGGCCGAATTGAAGTCGTAGCTGCGAAGATAGCATTGGATCCCCACGTGACTCACCGCAACGCCCTGGCTGGGCTTGGGGGAATGCAACAGAAATTCTGCAACAGAGGATTCAACATGACTCAACCAAAAAAAGGGAATCTGTGTGATTTTGCTCAAGCATATGTCAATGTTGTGATTCAAGCAGAAAAACATGGATTGATTGAACCAGCAAATGTTGGGGATACTTGGTGAACCAACAAAAGAAGGACCCAACCCGGTATGAATTGGGCAACAACCAGGATCAAATTTCAGGGAAGATCACCATCCTGTGCCAAAGCTCAAAAGGGTTTTCCTATCCCATGAATCCAATTAGCCCCATCATCATCCATTATCCCATTTATATAAAATTTATATTCCCTTCAGTCATTTCATATCCCATGTATATTCCCATGATCATCCATTATCCCATGAATATTCCCATCATGCCCTGAATATCCCATGGAACTCACCGTTTTTCTCGGGAACACGCCGGCCACCCAGGCCCACCCAGGTCCTTGGCGTCCGCTTGGACCGCCGCATCTGACATTTCCATGGAGTGACTTCGAAGA